TCGATAGTGGATTTCATGCTCTTTATTCAGCTCATAGTGGTGAGGAGGGAATGAATGTCCCCTCAAAGTATCTGCTTTATATACATTATTTACACAATGGGCTGCACGTGATTGGCTAATTCCGGAATTCTCCTGTAGGCCAATCAGGTTGTGGATTCACTTCTATCTGGAGCTGGATTGGGTGGCTCCTGCCAACCAATCATACTGCTGCATTGTTCTAGGACCAATCAGACTGCTGCATTCTGAATCCTATTGTTCTAGGACCAATCAGACTGCTGCATTTTGGATCCTATTGTTCTAGGACCAATCAGACTGCTGCAGTTTGGATCCTATTCAACTCAGTACATAACACCCCTCCCCTCTAAGTTCCAGTCCTGCCCGGGAGGTCACATTCATAGTCTTCAAGGTACGCTGGCGGCCTATGTGTGTGTTGCGGCCTGGGGTGTTCCCTGGTCCGGGGTTCAGGTTCTGGTTCGTGTTCCAAGGATGCTGGCTGTGATGGGGCCGTTTGGTCTGGTGCAACCAGCTCGCTCAGTCGTGGTTCTGGCTCCGGTGTCCTTTCGGCCTCGCGGGTCCTCTCTGTATTTACTGATTCTGCCTCTCCTGCTGGCCCCTCCTGTTGTATGGGCCTCACTGCCCCACTGTTCACTTGGGACTCCTCTGACCTGTCCTCCTCCTGGTTTTCTCCCGGGAATCATCGCCGTATCTGGTCGCAGTGGCGGCGCCAGCATTCCCCCCATCCGTTAGCACCTCGTACGACACGGGGCCAGTGACCTTGGTGACTGTGGCGGGTACCCATGCAGGGCCTGCCCCAAAATTCTTTGCGTACACTGGGTCCTGGACCACGAAGGTCCGGGGGTTCCTGCCTTCCCCCACCACCACCTTGTCCTGAGCTCTATCAGGGTGAAGGCGGTCCAATCTGATTGCAAGGCCCATTAGTAGTTCAGCGGGGCTCCGGCCAGTCGTTGAGCTGGGGGTGCTGTGCTGTGCTAGAAGGAATGTGGCAAGGCGGTACTCCCAATCCCCTTGCGTCATGCAGCGGAGGGCGTCCTTGGTGGTCCGCACCATGCATTCTGCTTGGCCATTGGTGGCAGGGTGGAATGGCGCCGAACAGATGTGGCGGATGGCGTTCTGCGCTGTGAAGGTTTGGAATTCTCCTGACGTAAATGTGGTCCCGTTGTCTGAGACGAGAGTGTCAGGCAGCCCGTGGGTTGCAAACAGCCTGCGTAGTACCCGGAGGGCTGCGGATGTAGAAGTGGACGGTACCAGTGCGACTTCCAGCCATTTGGTGTAGGAGTCCACCACTATGAAGAATGTTTTCCCCTGAAAGGGGCCAGCGAAGTCCACATGCAGGCGTGACCATGGTGCTCGGGCGGACTCCCAGGACTGGACTGGGGCCCTGGGGGATCTGGGTGGGATTCTTGGCAGGCCTGGCAGTGTTTGACCCAGGCCTCTATCTCTCCGTCGATCCCCGGCCACCACACATAACTCCTGGCCAGGGCCTTCATTCTTACTACCCCTGGGTGTGTCTCGTGTAGGGCTGTGAGGACCCTTTTGCAGAGGGGCTGGGGAACAACGACCCTGCTTCCCCATAACAGGCACCCCTTGTGTGCTGACAGTTCATGTTTGCAGGTTGTGTAGCCAGCGAATTCTGGCCCAGGGCTGCTGCTGGGCCATCCCCTCCACACCCAGTCCAGGACCCGGGAGATGACCCTATCTTTCTTGGAATGGTGTGCAACTTCTTGTGCCTGAATGGGGCGGTCGGGAAGCAGCTCCAGGCTCATAACCTCTTGTGCAGGTGCTGGGTCGGGGCCTGTTTCCGGTAGTGGTAGCCTGCTGAGGGCGTCCGCATGGCCCATCACTTTCCCAGAGCGGTGAATCAGTGCATACTGGTAGCTGGCAAGGAAAATTGACCACCTGAGGACGCGAGGAGACAGCACTTGGGGGGTCTTCTTTTCGGGGGCAAACAAGCCAAGCAACGGCTTGTGGTCGGTCACCACGGTAAAGAGCCGTCCGTACAAGAAATCATGGAATTTTTTTACTCCCTTCACGATTGCCAGACCCTCCTTGTCGATTTGCGAGTAGTTCCGCTCGGTTGCGTTGAGTGTCTGGGGAAAGTATGCCACCGGTACCTCTCTTCCATCCAGGAGTTGGTGTCCCAGGACAGCGCCGATGCCATAGGGCGAGGCGTCACATGCTAGCACCACCAGCAGCCTCTCGTCGAAGTGTGCCAAGACCGAGTTTGAGACAAGCAAGTCCTTGACTGCCAGGAATGCGGCCTCCTGGCGCTGGCCCCACACCCAAGGGGCCCGCTTGTCCAGGAGTCTGTGTAGGGGCTCCGCTACTGCCGCCTTGTGGGGAAGGAAGGAATGGTAAAAGTTCAATAGTCCCAAGAAGGCCTGAAGTTCAGTCTTGCTCTTGGGTGCTGGGGCATCACAAATGGCCCGAACCTTGTCCCCAGTCGGGTGGACCCCTTCTGCGTCCACCATAAATCCCAGAAAGTCCACCTGAGGCACTCCTAGTAGACATTTTTCCCGCTTCACCTTGAGACCTGCCGTCTGGAAATGGTGCAGAAAGGATGTAGGAGTCTTGGTTGACCACAAACTTGACATGAGCCAACAGTGTGAAGCGGCAGCTAAAAAAGCCAATGCAATTCTGGGCTGCATCAATAGGAGTATAGCATCTAGATCAAGGGAAGTAATAGTGCCACTGTATTCTGCTCTGGTCAGACCTCACCTGGAGTACTGTGTCCAGTTCTGGGCACCACAGTTCAAGAAGGACACTGACAAACTGGAACGGGTCCAGAGGAGGGCAACCAAAATGGTCAAAGGCCTGGAAACGATGCCTTATGAGGAACGGCTAAGGGAGCTGGGCATGTTTAGCCTGGAGAAGAGGAGGTTAAGGGGTGATATGATAGCCATATTCAAATATATAAAAGGTTGTCACATAGAGGAGGGAGAAAGGTTGTTTTCTGCTGCTCCAGAGAAGCGGACATGGAGCAATGGATCCAAACTACAAGAAAGTAGATTCCACCTAAACATTAGGAAGACCTTCCTGACAGTAAGAGCTGTTTGACAGTGGAATTTGCTGCCAAGGAGTGTGGTGGAGTCTCCTTCTTTGGAGGTCTTTAAGCAGAGGCTTGACAACCATATGTCAGGAGTGCTCTGATGGCGTTTCCTGCTTGGCAGGGGGTTGGACTCGATGGCCCTTGTGGTCTCTTCCAACTCTATGATTCTATGGTGCGGAGGCGGTCCTCAAACTCCTCTGGTGTGGGCCCAGCAATCAACACATCATCGAAGAAGGGGGTGATGCCAGGAATCCCTTTAAGGAGAGAGTCCATTAGATTCTGGAATATGCCTGGTGCCACGCTGACACCAAATTGCAGCCACTTTACCCTGAACGCTCCTCTGTGCGTCACAATTGTCTGTGCCTCTGCTGTGGCCTCATCTACTGGCAGCTGTTGATATAGAATCATAGAATCATGCTTGGGCCAAGTCCAGCTTGCCAAAAATTTTTGACCCAGCCATGGTGGCAAGGACATGGCTGACCACTGGCACTGGGTATGCGTGGGCCGTGAGGGCCTTGTTTATGGTACATTTGTAGTCTGCGCAGATGCGGACCAAACCATTAGGCTTGATGGGTGTGACGATTGAGGTTTCCCAGGGGGCATTAGGCACCAGCTCCAGCACTCCTTGCTCCACGAGCCGGTCCAATTCCTCGTCTATACGGAGTTTCAGGGCGAACGGGAGCCGGTGGGCCTTGAGCCTGACAGGTCGTACTGCGGGGTCAAGCTGTAGAGCAATGGGGGGGCCCGTATACTGTCCCAATTTCCCATCAAAAAACCCCGGAAATTCCTTGCATATGGCGTCCACGTCCACTTGTAAGCTCGTGTGGTTCACTCTGGTGACAGGTAACCCCAGTGGTCCAAACCATGCCAATCCCAGTAAGCTAATGTAGGGGCCCTTGACCACAAGCAAGTCCAGTTGCCGCGTCCGCCCTCGATATTGCACCCTGAAGGTCCCCACTCCCATTGTGGGGACCTTACGTTTCTGGAAGTCCCGGAGGGTGAATGGGGCCGGCCTGAGTTGGGGACCCCCATTAGGACACAGTTTCCTTAAGGTCCTTGCCGAGAATATGGATAGAGTTGAACCCGTGTCAAGCTCCATGCGGCACGGGGCCCCCTCTATCTGTACCTCTACATAAATTTTCTCTACGTTGGGGTGGGGCAACTGGTATACCTGGAAGTCTGTGAGCTCCGTCGAGTTGCCTTGGTGCATTGGGCCCTGGGACCTGGGGCTCTTGGATCGGTCATCTGATGCCTGGCGTCGGGTGGGCCGAGCCCGACACACCCGGGCGATGTGCCCCAATTTGCCACACTGCCTGCACTCTGCGTTGCGGAAACGGCAGGTCCTCCTCTTGTGACTCTCCCTGCAGCTTGAGCAGTTCCCTCCTTGTCAAGGCAGCTGTGGTCTGTGCGCTGCTTGAGTGCGCTGCTGTACTCAGTGCACCTCCTCCCTGTCGGATCCTGAGTCGTCGGTGAGGTCCTCATGGTGGACCCTCGGTTGGGACGGCAGGCTCGGTCGTGCCTCTTGCGTCGACCTTTCGGCAGCTTCTGTTGCCAGGGCCTCCTCCAGGGCGACCTGGAACGTTAGGTCCTTCTTAGCATCGTTGCAGCTTCTCATCCTTCAGGCCACCGACGAGGCGGTCATGAAGCATGTTCTCCAATTCTGAGAAATTGCAGAACCGGGCGGCTTGGCGGAGAGAGGTCACAAACCTAGTTATGGTTTCCCCGGAGGCTTGCCGCTTTGCGTAGAAGGCATTTCGACGAGCCACCACTGAGGGCTGCGGCGAAAAGTGCCCCTTCAGCCGTTCCATTATTGTTTTGTATGGAACAGTAGCAACGTCTTCAGGTTCAAGGAGAGCCCGGGCGATTTCAAACGTCTCCTCTCCGCAGACGCTGAAGAATATCGCCCTCTTCTTGGCATCTTCTTTGTCGGTGACCCCTTTGGCTTTTAGGAGGAAGGTGAAACGGGAGGCATACGCTTCCCAGTCTCCGGATGCTGGGTTGAATGGCGAGAAGCTGCTGTCGGTTGCCATTCTGAGTTCCTTGTGTCCCGGAGCTGAAGCCTGGATACACGGTGCGAGGCAGCGGTGCGGCACGTGGCGGTGCTGCGGTGCTGTGTGTGGCGGTCAGCTCAGCGGGATCCCACCTTCGTTGCCAGTGAAATATACTCAGAGTCGATAGTGGATTTCATGCTCTTTATTCAGCTCATAGTGGTGAGGAGGGAATGAATGTCCCCTCAAAGTATCTGCTTTATATACATTATTTACACAATGGGCTGCACGTGATTGGCTAATTCCGGAATTCTCCTGTAGGCCAATCAGGTTGTGGATTCACTTCTATCTGGAGCTGGATTGGGTGGCTCCTACCAACCAATCATACTGCTGCATTGTTCTAGGACCAATCAGACTGCTGCAGTTTGAATCCTATTCAACTCATTACATAACAGGACTGGACCTGGACCTCTTACTCGGGTTACCCCTGGGCCCAGCACAGTTAGGCCAGTGCGACCAGTTCCCCCACACCGGGTTCTGAGCTGACAGGTCGCTTTCCCACCTCCTTCTCAAAGCCTGTAAATGCTGGCTTCAGAAAAGAGGTGTGGGGGCTTGGACAGGGTTCTGGAGTTCTCCCTCCTCCTTCCCAAAGCCTAGTTGGGTTAATGGACGGCGGTTAGTTATAGTGAGCAGAGGACTTCCTTGCTACAGCAGCTCCAGTGGCTACCGCTCTGTTTCCACCCAGTTTGGTCCCCACCTGGTTAGCCCATACAATGACATCTGGGTCCATCTCAAAATCTGCTCCTGCAGCAGCCCCAGGGTCCATCCACCCCACGTTCCTCCACGCCATAGATTTGTTCGAGAAGATGGCCCAGTTGATGATATCGAACCCGGCAGACTCCATCCCATGTTCCCCAAAGGAGATTTCATCCCCAGTGCTGTTGTTGAAGCGGATGTTCCTCAAAGAATAATGGATCTGGAATGAAACATTGTTGGTAGGGGTGGGTTGGCAAGGGGCCATGGATTGGATCGAAACATTCCAGCTAATGGGAGTTCCATTTCCCCCTGCATCTCAGAGATGGAGTAAAGGAAAGGACATAATCATTTCTAGCTCCATCCATGAACTAATAGCATCCTCCATTCTCCACATGACACATAACGGCATCAGGCCCTGGAGAACCCCAATGTTTGCAGATGTAGAAAACAAAGTTTAGAGATCTAGCAGCTAAAACCCAGTCTTGGTGATACAGAAATGCACAATCTCTCTCTAGCTCAGTGTTTCTCAACCTGTGGGTCCCCAGATGTTGTTGAACTACAACTCCCATCATTCTGAGCCAGCATGACCAGTGGTCAGGGATGATGGGAGTTGTAGTCCAACAACATCTGGGGACCCACAGGTTGAGAACCGCTGCTCTAGCTCCATCCATGAACTAATAGCATCCTCTGTTCTCCAAGTGGCACATAATGGCAGAGGCACCATCAGGCCCAGGAGAACCCCAACGTTTGCAGATGTAAACAATACAGTTTAGAAAACATCTTGTGAGGGGCAGGACCAAGACAATCCAACAAGCGATGTTCACACTAACTTGGTGGTCTGTTGACTTGGATTTCTGAAACTCTGCTGGGAGAAAATCAGGAGCAAGCGGGAATAGAATGGTTCCTGCCATGGTTGCAGGTTCAGAAGAAATGCCCCCTTTCCATCTTCTGTGTTTTTGTGTTTCGATGCAGATGTGTACAGGTCATGCAACGCCTGTGCCACAGAAGAGACTGCATTGTAGATGCTGTAGCTGTGGCTGGTCATGCTCATATCAAACACAAAGGCTGGCAGGTCCTCCAGCTTCTCCTCTCCTGTGCAACGTCCCCGGCCATCTGGTGAAGCGTGGCCTGGTTTCAGAACCTCATAGTCAAACGCAACTTCCCACCAGTCACTGAGAAAAACATCACTGTGGGGTCAGTATGGATCTAAAGCTGAAAGATAGCGGTCGAATCCTGGAACGTCTCGTGTGGACTGTGAAGGACAAAGCGCCATGGAAAGATTGCACATTCCACCACGCATAATGATACCCAACTGCAGCGAGTTCGCACTCGGTTGTCAGGATCCAGACCTTCCCAAATGTAGTGTTGGTGTGTTCCTTGTAGACAGAAAATGATATTGGTGACCCCTGCAGCGATCACAACCTGGGCCTTGCTCTCAAAAACTGTCAAGATTAGTGCAACCTGATCTTCTGCAGTGTCATTGAATACAGAGAACCGTTGAAGGATCTTCCTTTCAAAATCTGCACAGATGTCATTCTGGGCAAATAATGCTTTCAGGCTCTGGATGAAATTGTCACTTCAGTCACTTTTCAGAACAATGATCCCAACCCAGTTCCACTGGAAGTAGAGGAGGAGGGAGAACAACGCCATGTTCTGCATGTGGTGTTCAGGGTCGGTGTGGTAGAAGCTTGGGGAGTTGACTGGGTCACTCAGAATGGAGTCAAAGGACAGGAAACCTAACTGAAGAACCAGAAGTGGATCAAATTTTAGGAACGGTTGAGATGAAAGAACACAGAGAGGATATTGAGAAGTTGGAATGTGGAAAGGGAAGGAAGCAACAGAGCTCAGGGCTGGAGCAACTGGTTGCATGCAGACAGTCCCCAGCTTCTCTAGCTCTCGTTGCAAAACGCTCCCTTCCTGAAAGCAAGGAGAGCAGCTGCCAGTTTTCAGTATCTCATACCAAAATCCCCACTATTGGTTTTTCATTGGTTTTAAATCAATTGTATGCAGCTGTGCATTTAGATGCCCTTTCCTGCTGATGGGTCTTGTGTGCAGTTGGCATTATTATTATTATTATTATTATTATTATTATTATACTGCCCTGTAAACGTAGGTCTCAGGGCATGTTCACAACACAAAGCTGCAACATAAAAGCACAACATACATCATAAAAATAATTAAAGTAGCAAAAATTAATATTAATGTCTTCAAACTAATAAAAAATACACTCCTCAACAAAAGCCCCTACAAATACAAATTCATAAATCCAAGTTTAACAGTGTGGTGCTGATAACACCACAAGTTGCAGGAGTAAGTAACAAATGTTGGAAATGTAAGGAAAAAGAGGGAACATTTTATCACATGTGGTGGGAATGTAAAAAGGTGAAATGCTTCTGGGAGATGATGTATAATGAATTGAAAAAAATGTTGAAATATACATTTATAAAGAAACCAGAAGCATTTCTCTTGGGTATTGTTGGAAACGATATACCGTAAATAAAAAGGAATGTAAGCGTTTTCTATATGCAGTAACAGCAGCAAGAATACTATTGGCCCAAAAATGGAAGCAAGAAGAATTACCAACGATGGAAGAATGGAGGATGAAATTAATGGACTATGCGGAACTTGATAAACTAACGGGAAGGATCCGAAACCGGCGGGACCAGAAGTTTACCGAGGACTGGAGTAAATTTACGGATTATTTGAAAAGTATTTGCGATGACCAGACGACATTTGTAGGTTTGCAAGAAGATCTGTGAGGAATAATATTAGAAATATTGCAAAAATGAAGAAGGGGATGGGATATGTTAAGAAAGTAAAGGCAATATTAAGTTAGGAAATGCGTAAGAAGTGAGTAAGACGGAGGATTATCAGAGGTGCTGATGGAAGTCCAATAAGAATGTATTTGTGATAAATTGTGTGGTATGTTTTATAATTTTGTATTTTAAAACCAATAAAAATATATATATTTTTAAAAAAAGTTGCAGGATCGATCCCCGTAAGGGACAGCTGCATATTCCTGCCTTGCAGAGGGTTGGACTAGATGATCTGCAGGGTCCCTTCCAACTCTATGCTTCTATGATAAAAAGCAATTTAAAGCAACCCCACCAACCAAATTAAACAATACCCACCCAAGTTAACACCCCCCCATGGAAACAATAAGGTACCTGAGGAACCTTGAAGTTTGTCAAGATGTGTGCCATCGGCTTTGAGATTCTTGTGTTGAGGCCCCCAATGACGGAGAGCAGCTCATCCCCCCTGCTGCATTTATAGTTAGGAAACATGTTCCTCCATGTGGAGAGGAGAGAGAGGCTGACCTCGTGCGCCATGCTTGCGTAGTCGCTCTCTACTGGCACACAATACAGAAATCAAAGAAGTCTCAAAGGATAACTGTGCTACATTTGCATCTGATTTCAATTCCCCCCCCACCCCGTCCCGATAAAAGACATTGCTCAAAGAGGGGTTTGGAGTATTATTATTATTATACAAATGTAGCATTTTTGCTTTTTGCAGTATTCTTAGTTGTATACAGGGTTGGGATCATGATGGACAATGGAGACCCGTTCTTTGCCCTCTTCTACATGATAGGCATTTGGGAATGATTTGAAGAGATATATGCTTTAATCTCAGGGTCGTCGGTTCAAGCCCCAGGTTAAATAATAATAATAATTTTATTATTTATACTCTGCCCAGCTGGCTGGGTTTCCCCAGCAACTCTGGGCAGCTTGCAGCATATGTATAGCATAGTAAAATATCAAGCATCAGAAATGTCGTTACAGGGCTGCCTTCAGAGGTCTTCTAAAAGTTATGTCGTTCTTATCTCCTTGACATCTGAAGGGAGGGCGTTCCACAGGGAGGGAGCCACTACCAAGAAGGCAGGGTTCCCGCATTGCAGGGGGCAGGACTAGATGATCCCCAGGGTCCCTTCTAACTCTACAATTTTATGATTTTATGTGCAAGATAAGTGCAAGAGTATTTTTTGGAGTGACAAAGGCATGGAATTTTGGCCTTAGCCCTGCTGCATTTCCTTTCCCAGGAAACGTGTCCAAATAAGGAGTTGGTGGGCTCTCCTTCCTGGGAGGTTTTTAAGCAGAGGTTGGAGGGCCACCTGCATTGCAGGGGGTTGGACTAGATGATCCCTGGGGTCTCTTCCAACCCTCTGATTCTATGATTGACTACATCTTTCTCCAGGAAAGCCCCTTGACACAAATGACAAAGGAAGACTTACTGAGAAAGATTCCCGGTTGATGGGAGATTCCTCTAAGGGAAACATGAGGACGATGGTGATGGATGATGGTAAATTGGGGGGTCCACAATCAGGTCCCCTGGCATATAATAATCTTCCTGGACTGGGAATGGTCTGGTCAGGTCACAGGTGGGTCTCAGCGCCATCAGGATCACCTGAGTCAGGGGCCAAAATAACAGCAGCAGCCAAATCATCATCATCAGAGAGAGACTTCTCTTCCAAGAGTGGGCAGTTGGAAGTTTGCAAGAAGCCTCAGAGTGCAGGATTCATTTTGCAGGGTCCAGGAGGGGCTTCAGGTCTTAAGGACTAGCATCCTGCCCATCTCCAAAGAGACCTGGGTGCCTTGTTTATACCTTCCTGAGTGTACATGCTTTCCCTTGAAGATAGGTGGGATTTTTTATGTTGTCCTGGCAATATTTGTTATTCGCTTGAGAGGTAGCGTCTGAAAACCCTCAGGGGTTCTGCGAGAACTGCCGCTCCATTTTCTGCATAATTCTAAGGGAGAAAAATAATCACAGGCTACCGTGCTGGATTCCCTCTGCATGTTTCTCGGAAGAAAACAGATTTTCGAGACCGCAGCTGGGTCACCGTCTGCTTGTTTGTTGAACCCTTGAGGTTATCTCTGGGTTATCCTTCTAAATATCAGTCCCTAGTATTTTACCCAACAAGAGATCTCGGTGCAGCTTTTGCTGCTGACCCCCTATTTTCAGAGATATGAAGGAATGCAGTCTCCCTGAAATAATGGCATTGCTCCAAATAAAGGAGCTCTAAATAAAGGCCGTCTCCTATTTTATGCCACCCTGGCATTGGCTAATCTGAGCCTTCTGCCTCTGAGCTCTCTGTTCCACTACTCCCAATGTCCGTCTGGTCCTGGGGGTCAGGAGTGCTTTCAAGGACACTGAGTCTGTCAGCTGTCTGTCCCCTGGTGCTTCTTCTTCTTCCTGCTGTTCCTCTCCCAATATTTCCCAGCTTCTCCCTTCTGCAGCCTCTGAACTATGGCCTTCTGCAAACCACTGTTCTAAATCGATACTGTCCTCCTGTTCTCAGGAAGGTTCAGGCCCCCACCATTCCTCCTCAGTCCAGCCCCTGACAGGTGCAACGTGTTGGGATAAAGTAAAAGCAAGCTTTATAAGGTCATCATTTGCAACCAACCCTGTCAAATTCAAATGTATAATGCACCGCAAATTGCAAACCACCCAACTGCCCCTATTTTCCAGAGACAGTCCCAGATTTACAGAAGCCGTCCCAGTTTCAGATCTGATCCCAGAATGTCCTGCTTTCCCTTTTTTCTTCAGAGAAATGTTGGAGGGTATGGAGTTATGCAACCCCCAAGCCTTGTATATGGAAGGTTTTTTAAATGTTTAATGTTTCATTATTTTTAATGTTTTATTATCTTTTTATATATACCCAGAGTGGCTTCCAACATGTTATAAATTTGTTGTTGTTGTTGTTGTTGTTGTTGAAATGAAGAGTACGGCATTCTGCTGTTGTCCAAAGAAAATATTTTGTTAAATAAATAGGTCTTGGGGCTTTCGTTTTAAAAAAGAATTATTCTTGCCTTTGCATAGAAAATGTAAATATTTACATTGGAAATGTAAATATTGGTCACCATTTCTTTGCAGGATGGGAGCTGTGTGTTCAAATTGTCCGACCGAGCGTTCAGGATCAATAGCTATGTAAATCTTCCAAGCAATGATGACGGGTCCCTGAACAAGCTGTGGGTCCAGTTGGTCCAGTGACTGTTTGTTTGGATGCTTCTTATTTCCAGTTTTACTGCTCAAGTAAGATGCATTATTATTATTATTATTGGTCTAATCAGATGCCCAAATGGGTAGCCTGAATGCAGCAGCACCATTCCCAGAAACTCCTGTCCAAAGATCATTGGAAATACAAAATGCAGAGCAAGTGAGATCATCTTCTGAGGCCCTTCTTCATGTGCCGCCTCCATGTGAGGTCCAGAGGGTGGCAACACAAGAACAGGCCTTTTCTGCGGTGGCTCCCCATTTGTGGAATGCTCTCCCCAGAGAGGTTTGTCTGGTGCCTTCATTATATATATTTTAGGTGCCAGGAAAAAACCTTCCTTGTCATCCAGGTCTTGGGCTGATTATGGGGGGGGGGGGAAGTTATTGGTTTGTTTTGTTTTTATTATGAACTTTGTGGTTTGTTTATAATGTATTTTTCTGCTGCGAGCCACCCTGAGTCCTGTGGGTATAAGGCAGTGTACAAATGTTATTCATCATCACCACCATCACAGTTCAGGGGGGAGGGCTGCATGACACACAGCTGGCTCCCATATCCTTACTCCAGAGGATACAAATGTCTAGGAGAGCAAAGATGACAAGCTTCTCCCCCAGCCTCCCAGAAGTACCAACTGCTGGTTCAGGTCGGGGTGGAAATGAACCATGCCATGCTGGCTGTTGGCTATGGGTCTGAGAACGGGACTCCGTACTGGATCATAAAGAACAGGTAACGTGGGAATCAGTGGGGCCAGAAAAGGTTGGGCTATCAGGCGGGTGATGTATCCCGGTCCTACCGGGAGATGCTGGCAACGAACGCAAAGCTGCAGCACTTCCTCTGGCTACACTTAGACTCATCTCACTCTCCTGCCACCCACCTTGAAGCAACATCTTAAAGAGATCCTCTCCCTTCCTTCCACAGTTGGGGACCTTACTGGGGCGCGAATGGCTACATCCGGACGCAAAGAGGAGTCAACCTGTGTGGCTCAGCTGCTGTGGCCAGTTAGCCTGTGTAAGCAGCCCAGGACTCCTCCTCCTTCCTCCTGGAATCTTCTGACCTTCAGAGCAATGGCTCATCGGGAGTGTTGCTCTTCTGCATCCCACTCGTGCCTCCCAAACAGAGCAGGAGTGGCATGCTGAAACGGAGCACCACCTCAATTTTAAGAATGAATAAAAAATTTGGCCATTTTGATTGAGTTCTTGCATGCCTTCAGAGCAGGAGGTTGCATTTGGTATGGAATTGGCTCAATTAGGGTCACATCACCACTATTCCTTTAAAGCGGATGACTTTCTCCAACCGATTTCAACAAGGGGAGGGCAATGGGAGTTGCATATCCATGAAGGACAGCTCCCAGGGGTCTTGGCGGGGGGAGCCATATGTAGTGAGGGCCACCAAGCGCATGGGAGACCCTGATTCAACTCTCCACTCCATCACGCGGCTCCTCACTGGGCAGCTATGGGCCAATCTCTCTCTCTTCTGAGCTACCTCATGAGGTTGTTTTGAGAATCAAGAGTGGAGTAGGAGAGCTGGAAATAATGCCAAAAATGCCTCAGCTAACGTGGCCCATTGTCAGGGAAGATGGAGAGTGAATACCCCGGTGTACTGGAACATTTTCTACACAGCTCTGCTGTTGAAATGCATCTCTCTCAAAGCTCACACTGTGTTAATGTTACGTGAATTCCCCTTGGCACGGCCCATTTCTCACATGCCTCCTGTATATGGAGAATGGATCCTTCTGTCTCCACCCTAAAAGGAACAGATCTCTAAGCAGTTGTTTTGCTCATTCCAGGTGCCACTCACTGCACAAAGTGCCCAGACGATCAACACCCAAACCAGTCTAGTATCCCCAAGAACGTCAACTTCCTTTCTTATGAAGATAATCTCGGCTTTGCTTGCGCTTCTCTTGCCTTCTCCCTCTTTCTCCTCACATCTCTGTGCTGGCGATCTTCATTAAACACCGAGACGCCAATCGTCAAAGCCAACAACCGAGACTCACCTACCTCATCTTCCTCCTGCTCTGCTTCCTCTGCTCCTTCCTCTTCCTCACCTGTTGCCTCCCACAAACGGCTTTTGGAACCATCTTCTCTCTCGCCGTTTCTTCTGTGTTGGCCAAAACTGCTCTGGTGGTTCTTGCCTTCACGGCCACCAAGCCAGGAAACAGGGCCAGTGGCGCCCAGCGCAAATTAAGAATGCAGAGTTTTAGAGAAGAAGAGCTTTACTGGGTAAAAATCAACTTCTTCCTAAACAACATGCTTCCACACAGTCTGACTGAGATTCCATACTGCTCAGAACTGAGGCGACTGACTGACTGACATCTTACAGAGAGAGAAAATGGCTGCCACTTAGAAGGAGAATGAGTCACATGCCAGAGTGAGAAGATGGCTGCCAAGTCACATGACTCAGGGGGACTCCCCAGTTGGCAGTCAGGCCTGGATACCTTGACTAGGCCCAGCCCTTCCCAGCCTGCTTTGCGGCTTCGGCTCTCAGGGGTCTGGGTCACATGGCAGCCAGAAGATTCTGGGGGCGCCAGTTCCCAAGCCCCTGGTCCTGGCCTGTCCCCCCATCCAGGCTGGTCCCTTCTCCCCGTTCCCAAACTGGGACCTTCCTTCTCTACCCAGCGAGACTGTAGTGGAATGCAGGGAAGGCTCCCTTGCCATGTTTTACTCTGTCTTGGGTTACATGGGTTTCCTGGCCCTCGCCAGCTTCACGGTGGCTTTCTTAGCAAGGAGGTTGAAGATATGGGGTTCAGTTTAAATTGCACATGATTTCTGTGGGGTTGGTTTTTTTTTGCATAGATCTTAGATATGGTTGCTCAGCTAATAAGTCTAAACATCACTCTTGCCAAGTCCAAACATCACTCTTGCCCTTCCCTCAATTGATACAGGTTTACATGCTTGTTTTCCTTAACAAATTAGTGTGCCTTTATTCATTCATTCATTCAGCCTTTATTGGCACAATTTAGACAACAAGAGTATTAAAAATTGATAAAACATTGGTAATCCAGACATATGAAATACATAAAACAATAGCCACCAATAAGTAAAAATAAGTAGTTTTAAATTTGACTTTGAAAATATCCTTGAACAATTTCAGTAGTTTCAGAAATATTATCCCTCCAAAAATATTGGATTACAGATACTTTGCAAATAGATACTTTAAGCTTCAAAGGAGTCGCCTGTAGGTCTCTCCAAAGGGTGCTGAAGAGAGGAAGTCCCAAATTATGTGGTATATTGTATCTGCTACTGGAAGGATTTTTTTTATTTTGTATCTGGTGTGTTCATACCACAAGAGCAAAGTCTATTCTGGAAGGGGATTTTTGGGAATCTCCCTGACCATACAAACGAGGGGGGTGCATTTAAATGGGCTAGCATAAAAACTCTATGATACAATGGGGTATCTAAGTTTTAAAAATAGCTGGGCCTTTATTAATGATGGCTCAAATGTACCATAAGTGGCTGGTCACTTGAAATTATGAACAGGATTTATTCCCTAGCTAAGAGTGTGGGAATTAATGTTATCAGAGCAGCTGAAGCATCATGGTGAGCTTTCCAAGGAAGTGATGCAGTGTGATAATTTTATTGATACGTGGCTTCTATTTGTAGTGTATTTTAACAAAAGCAGCCAAGGACGTGTTGGGCTAAATGGCACAGCTCCAAGGTTCTTTTGGTGTGGAAGTGAAGTGATGGCTCTCATCCATCCAGCCCTGCATGACAAACACATTGCTGCACTTTCCTTGTTGCTATGTTAATGTTCTGCTTATGGATACAATAAAAAATATATATAGCAAAATAAAATAAAGTTGCACCACTGAAATGCAACCAGGATGATTTATTTAATTATTTCACGAAACCCACACACCCTCTGATTGTGGAAAAACCTCGGAACGGTTTAGAAAAAGGGATAAAACTTTAAAACTAGAGTGGTACCTCAGGTTAACTACTTAATTCATTCCGGGGGTCTGTTCTTAACCTGAAACTGTTCATAACCTGAAGCACCACTTTAGCTAATGGGGCCTCCCGCTGCTACCACGCTGCCGCCGCACAATTTCTGTTCTCATCCTGAAGCAAAGTTCTTAACCCGAGGTACTATTTCTGGGTTAGCGGAGTCTGTAACCTGAAGCATATGTAGCCCAAGGTACCACTGTACCATTATTTAAGAGTTTCAAAAAGTGAAAATGACAATAAACTTCTGCAAGGACAAATCCCATCGCACAACTTTTTTTAGTTTGTTGAGAGTGTCCACAAGCATATAAACAGTGGTGATCCACTAGCTCTGCCACGCTAGGAATCCAGCAGTGAAGATGACAGCAATGAAGACCCCCCTCTTGGCCTAGCGGATGGGGACCAAAGGAAAGCAGAACAAGACGCTGGGCACTTGCTTGGCAGCAGGAGTTGCTGGAAGGAGGCGTACAAGGTGCCACCCCAGCCGTCTTAGGGACTCCACTCCAGATTTGTGTAGGGCTTCCTCCTGAGCCCTTTATTCTCCTGAAGCTGGGAGTGGAGGTTTAGGGTCCTTCTCCTAGAGGGGATTCCCTTCCCGGGTGGATGAGCCCCACCTGCCCCTCACTTCCCCCTGCAGCACAGGTAGAAACCACCTGCTTGGCCGTTGGACCCCCTCTTGGCCTCATCCACTCTGTCTTCGCATGCAGGGATGTCCCTAACTCACCAAGGCTTCGAGACGCATCGGCTCCCCTCACCTGGTTTAGCCAACCAGCTAAAGCTGTTCCCAGGATTGTGGCCACTTCCGCCTGCTGACAGCTTCCACAGGTGAGAGCTGAGCACAGGGTGGGGACCAAAGGTGGACAAACTGTCCTAGAAGGAGCAGGATGAGTCCCCACTAGAGGTACTGCCTCTCCCAGCACCCCAAACACCCCTTCCAAAGACTCTATAAATATTCCAAAACCTCTCCATATTTTTTGTACTCATCATCATCATCAAACCTTTTATTGGCATCACATACAAACATCCATAGTAAATCAATACAGAATTACCACCTCCCCAATGTCACAGAACATTTGTCAAATGAAAAGAGGTGAAAAAGTCTAACGTTACATCTCTAGGTCATTTTTGTACTCAATTATGGTCTGGTCAATGATTAGTGTGAGTGCGGGGGGTGTGGTTGGGTGTGAATGTATTACTTTATGTGTGTATGAAACCAAACAAAAGTTATACAAATAGTGGGTACAGGAAAAAGCTGTGCCTGTCTTCCTTTGGACATTACGTTTCTGAAACTGTAACAAGGTTCCCTAAATTTGTGATAAGGTGAGGTTTTTGAAAGCTGAATCCAGAATGCCCATGTGCGGCTTTTCCCACCAAATTGATCAGAAGGAAGGCACCACACCTCTTCCTTTGACCATGAAATGTCACTATTGCTCAGTTAAGTTTTGACAAATTGTTTCTAGGAACTTAAGGTGGGAGAGGAAATTAGATACGCACACTCTTTATAAAAAGGGGGCTGGAACTTATTCTGCCCAGACAGACGGGGTGGACAGACATCCAAGATCCTGTTCTCTGAATATTTCCACTTGAGGGAAAGGTAAGGTTTGTTGGAAGCCAGATTGGAGATTATTTGTAAAGAGTAGACAGGGCATGTTCAGAGAGATTTAAATTAAAATGATTTCCTGCCCCTCAAAGCACCATTGCTGTGATTGTTCATGCTGGATATTATCTGCATTCAGCAAATGTTTGATATTCAGAAACAGCATTTAATAATAATATAATAATTATTTATTATTTATTCTCCCCAGCCACTCCGGGCAGCTCCCAACAGAAAGTTAAAAACATGATAAAACATCAAACATTAAAAATTTCCCTAAACGTCATCTAACAAATTTCATGAGTCACTAAGGATAATCAAACCTGAAAATTTCAGTTCCTCTCAGTTACCTTATTTCCCTAGTCTTGAATACAGTTCTCCACATCACTTTGCATTTTTTTTTAATCCTCTTGAAATTTGTCATTTTAGTGCACATTCTTGCAGAGCAATTTCGCTATTTTCTCCAGTATACACATTTTTAATGCAGACTTTATCCCGGTGTATGAATTTCACACATTACTTGGCTGCAGAATTGCATTTGATCCAACACAACTAGGTTTCAGTTGCCCAGGAAGACACATTTTGCAGTCCTTTGAGAGCGGTGAAATTACTGAGACAGAGCAACTGGTGTTGGAAGGGACCCAAGGGTCATCTAGTCCAACCCCCTTGCAATGCAGGAATCTCAGCTAAAGCATCCATCCAATCTCTGCTCCCATCACCACCATCACACATAGAGTTTAATGCAAAAATGGAATGAAATTAACATGTATTTCAGAAAAATATGTACTAAATGTGTGTGTTTAGTAGGTGTATATATTTGGGGAGATGTGTGCATTTTGAAACTTTTTTAGAGAAAATACTTGCTTGAGAGAAAGCATACATGAAATTATCTTAGAGGTTTAGGTTGTCTCCTGTGCAGATATGCATCTGATCTCTTTGGTGGCATTGACCGGCCTGGTCTTGCTGAGGACGTTCAGCATGGCCAGGGACCCAGCTCTGGATGAAGCCTGGAGTGACTGGAAGAGGACCCATAATAAAATATACCGTGAGGTGAGTTTGCTCCAACTTAACTAGAATGAACACCATGCTTGTGTCTCAGAAAATCTTGCACTTTGAGCCATGTGCTTCTGAGCATGGGTAGTGTATAAAGGAAAACAATCCCTCTGCCTTCTAACTCCAAGAAAATTGCATGTGCAACAATGCACCAAGACGCACATTCCTCGTCGACTGGTAAGAAATTGGTGCATCCTGGTGCAGCTAAATTCTAATCTGGAACCATTTTCCTGCAACCGGCAGACCCTCCAAATGTCCCTATTTTCCAGGGACAGTCCTGGATTTACAGAAGCCATCCTGGTTTCTGATTTGATCCTGGAATGTCCCACTTTCTTTAGAACGTCCTTATTTTAATCAGAGAAACGTTGGAGGGTACAAAATAGGATGTGCCTATTTTTATTGGGAAAATGTCAGAGAGTATGAGCTGAGCTCTTCTGGCCTCAAGGCCTTCTGATTCTTTGAGGCAAGAATGATCTTGGGCTCTGTCCGTTCATTCTTAACCAAGAGGCTTCCTGCAGAGGAATGCAGAAGACTTCCGGAGAACCGTCTGGGAGGACAATCTCCATACCATCGAAGAGCACAACCGCGAAGCTGCCCAGGGGAAACACACCTTTCAGATGGCGTTGAACCAGTTCAGCGATTTGGTAAGCAAACTCGGAGTCTGGCTTGTATCATGGATTTTGCGGCTAGTCAATCCTCTCTCAGCCCAA